CTTTTTTCACAGAAATAGAAAATATAGTCCTAAAATTTATATGGGATCAAAAAAGACCCCAAATAGCCATGGCAATCCTGAGAAATAAGAACAAAGTCAGGGGGATCATGCTTCCATACATTAGAATGTACTACAAGGCTACAGTAATCAAATCAGTATGGTACTGGCATAAAAACAGGCACATAGATCAATGGAACAGAATAGAGAGCCCAGAATTAAACCCAGGCATATACGGGCAGTTAGTCTATGACAAGGGAAGCAAGAATTTACATTGGGGTAAAGATAGTCTATTTAATAAATGGTGCTGGGAAAACTGGACTGACACATGAAAAAAAGTGAAACTGGACCACCTCCTTACTCCATATACAAGAAAAAATTCAAAATGGATTAAAGACTTAAACATAAGACCTGAGACCATAAAACTCATAGAAGAAAATATAGGGTCTAAATTTGCAGACATTACCCTGAGCAATATTTTTACTGATATATCCCTGCGGGCTAGGGAAGTAAAAGAAAAAATGAACATATGGGACTACATCAAACTTAAAAGCTTTTTCACAACAAAAGAAACCATCAATAAAACAAAAAGGAAGCGTACTAAATGGGAGAAGATATTTGTCAACGAGATATCTGATAAGGGGTTAATATCCAAAATATATAAAACGCTCATGCAATTCAACACCAAAAAAACAAACAACCCAATTAAAAAATGGGCAGAGGATATGAAGAGACATTTCTCCAAAGAGGACATACAGATGGCCAACAGGCATATGAAAACATGTTCAACGTCACTAATCATTAGGGAAATGCAAATAAAAACCACAATGAGATACCACCTTACCCCGGTCAGAATGGCTATCATCAGTAAATCAACAAACAACAAATGCTGGCGAGGCTGTGGAGAAAAGGGAACCCTGGTGCACTGTTGGTGGGACTGCAGGCTGGTGCAGCCATTATGGAAATCAGTATGGAGGTATCTCAAAAAACTGGAAATTGAACTACTTTATGACCCAGCAATTTCACTCCTAGGTATTTATCCAAAAAAACGCAAGACATTAATCCGAAAAAATATATGCACCCCTATGTTCATTGTGGTGCTATTCACAATAGCTAAGACTTGGAAACAACCGAAATGCCCATCGGTAGACGACTGGGTTAAGAAACCATGGTACATTTACACAATGGAGTATTACTCAGCTATAAAGAAGAAGGAAATAGTACCATTTGCAACAATATGGATTGAACTAGAGAACATTATGCTAAGTGAAATAAGTCAGTCAGAGAAAGACAAATACCATATGATCTCACTTATACGCGGATTCTAAAAAACTGAATAAATGAGAAATGTAAACAGAAATAGTCTCAGAGACACAGGAAAAACTGAGGGTTACTAGTTTGGAGGGAGTGGGGATGAAGGAGAAGCGGAAGAGACGAGACACTACTAATTGGTAACTACAATATGGCCTCAGGGATAGAAAAGACAGTCTGGGGAATATAATCAATAAAGTTGTAAATATTTTTTAGGGGGCCAGTTGGACTCATGTCTTGTTAAGGAGACCACTTCATAGTCGGTGTAGAGGCCTGACCACCGCACTGTATTTCTGAAGCTGATGTTAAATCATAATGTATGTCAACTATAATTATATATACATATAGTCACAGGATGTGGAGTAGAGTGTGGGAATGGAGTCAATGGAATTGTAATAGATAAGTATGACATTGGGGGTGGGAGGGCAGTGGATGGGGGGGTTGCTACTTTGTGAGGGGTGAAAAGGATAACTATTGCATTGTTCTGTACACCTGAAAATAATAATAATAATAATAATAATAAAATGCATGGCAGCTAGACTCCCCAATTGCTTTTCCTGTCATATTTAACAATGCCCAGCAAAGAATTCATGAACCCATTCCTTTCCATATGTTCAGAGGTTCGGAAAAGCATTCATGAGAATGGGGCAACCTCCCACTTGTAACTTGGGGGTGAGGCTTTGTTTATGTATCCACAGAATCCAGACCCCTAGGGCAGCATGAAGAAGACCACACAACAAGCAGAAAAGATTCTCCAGACTATGATGACTCACAAGACACCTGAGAGCCTCTTCCTAGCCACGCTCTCCGTTATCCACACCAATTCCATGTCCTCCGATCCTGTCAAGCCCAAGTAATTATCCCTTCACGTGCTCCAGCTGCTACCCCTCCTTCTTTCCTGACATCCTCACCGCTGATAATTTTAGAATGACAAAAAGGGGGAAATGTAGGGACACAGCACAAGATTACATATTGTAAGGCCCCCACTCTGAAAGGTCACAGCAGGAGGGCAACTTGGGTGCATGTCGGCAGAAGGCGGTTGGCAACGACTCAAGGCATGACATAGGAAAGGAACAGCACGTGTAGGGCCAGATAAGTAGAGATTGAGTGGGCAGGCTCAGGACGGAACCAGGAAGCTCCCTATGTACTGATTGCTTACCCCCCACACCCGTTTATCACCCGCTTATGATACAGATCCAACAAAGGGCTTTGTCTGTTTCCCTCAATAAACGGAAGGTGCGAACAACCCTCGGGGTCTTTGCCCGATCACGTCTCTGTGTACTTCTTTTCATTGTCGGCCTCATTGTGGGAAAACTGTCCCCACAACCCCACGCTTGACTTCATCCCAGATACATTCCATCTCTGAGCATCTATAAATATGTGTACTTAAGATAGATACTAAATATATCACTGTATTTGTATGTTTCTATCTTTTCTAGAAGAATATAAGCACTTTGATAGAATTATAGTTATTTTTGTATCCTGTGTTACAACCTGCATGGTAGAATATGTGAGTTCCTGCTATGTACCAGGTGTACATGGGCATCAAAGCTACACAAAGATGATTCCGTCATACCCACAAGAAGCCTTGTCTGTGAAAAAATACTAAACTAGTTTTAGTTTTATAATAAATTGTATGGGCTATCAGAGCTATAAGTAGCAAGTGCATGGGATGTAGAAGAGAGAGCATCTAAATCCTACCTTGGAGAAATGAAAACAGTGACACTGGAATTGGGTTTGAAGGATGAGGAAGTTGGAATATGGAGCAGGATGATCAGACAGAAAACAATTCTAAGACCCCAGTGTAGGCAGAGAAAAAGGCACATTAATGAGCAAAGCATGTTCAAGAAGCATCTGGTATGTTATAGATAACAATACAACATACATTGGCCGTAAGGTGGTAGGGAAAGGGAAGACAGTTGAGATAGTATCATATAGGAAGGACCTTGTATGTCATACTAAGGAGTCTTGATTTGATTATGTAGGCAATGTTAAGCCACTGAAGATTCAGAAAGACAACTATCCATAACAGTTGCTAGAAAGACAAGTATGTCATAATAATATGACACATGGGTTAGAACAATAGGGTAGCAGATACTGTATGTTAGCTCAAACTCAATACCCATTCCAATTCCCTTACTTTTTTCCTTCCTCACCATAGAAAAACATGGTTTGCCAATCTTCCTTGAGCTAAGTGTGGCTATATGACAAGCTCTGGTCAAGACATAGACAGAAATCTTCTGAGAAGGGTTCTAAAAAAGCATTTACTTTTCTGATAAATGAGTGTCAGAAGCAGCTGGTACAGAGTTTGTCCTAACCCCTCTTCCTACTTTGAATATGTATTACCCAGAGTTACAGCAGCCATTTTGTGAACATGAGGTGACAAATCAACATGTTAAAGGCCAGATTGGAAAAAGTCTGGGTCACTGATGGCACCAATGAGCCACTATGCTAACCCTGCACTGCCTAATTCCAGACTTTACATATTCTTACTTATTTATTTAAGCTACTGTTAACTGCTTTACTGTTACTTACAAGCAGAACACATTCTGAAGTAACAAAAAGCAAGACTGATGGTAGGCAGACTAACCAGGCTACTGTAATAATCCAGGAAAGTGGTGATGAAGACTTCAACAGGAGCAAGGATTAAAGAAGGTAGAATATATTTGAGAAACACAGAAATAAGGAGCGAAAGGTAGAGACAATTTGGTTTTAGGCATATTGACATTGGGGATATCTATGGGGTATAAGATGGATACAACTAATAAATAAGAAAGATAGGTCTAGAGCTCTGGAGAAATATGGGAGCTGGACATAAGTAATAAGGACATAAACAGTGTCTGAAAACTGAAGTATGTTGAATGAAAATGGGAGGGCATATAGAATGAGAAAAGAAGACTAGGAATGTAACCTGAGGAGCCTCAGCATTTAAGGGATTTAGAACAAGAGAAGAATGAAGAATAACAAGAGAAGCAGGAATAACAGAAAGCAAAGGGAGGAGTGTGTTTCAAGAAGGGAGTGGTCAAGAGTCAATAATTACAGAAAATTCAAATAGGTATAAAGGCCAGGGTGTCACAAGTTAGGAATTGAAAGGGAGGAAGAAAGTGACATTAATTACTTTTTATGAAGTATGACAATCATAGGAAGAAGAAAGAAAAGATAGCTCAAGAGGAAGAGGCAGGGATAGGGGAAGGTTTTTGTTACTGTTGTTTTTGGATAAAGAAGATCAGAAGCTATTTAGAGGTTGAGGAAAAGCAATGAGTGAAAAGAGATACCTAAGACTGAAGAGTAAACTGGATATAATATAGTATTGGACAATATGGGAAAGAATGAAATCAGGAACTCAAATAGAAGCATTAACTTTAGGAAAGGGGGATGGCATGGCTGAAAAGAGGTAAGTCTTGAAAGCAGATAGGAAGAAGTTGAGAACAGTCATGTCTAATAACTTATTTTTTTTCTCTATGCAATAGAAGACACCGTCATCTTTGGCAGGTATAGGAGGCTTGAGAATAAAAGGTCTGTAATACCTCTCTTGGGGAACAAAACAGGAAACCACCTAGGAAAAAGCAGTTTTCTGCTAAGCAGCATTGGAGGTCTCATGGAGCATATGGTCCCCTTAAATAGTTAGAGGTGTTTTGGGACATTTAAAAGGAGTTAACATTAATAAAACAGAGACAAAGCCAAGCGCCAAGTGTCATAAAATATGAATATTTTATTACAGCTCTGGAAATGAAAAAAGGAGGGTAGTAGGGAACACATCCTTCTACACACCATTCTTTTTAGCTGATATTAATTACAAAAAGCTAAAGCAAATATATATGTGCATAAGTATTTATATATATACACATACATATTTTTTCAGATTTTAATCTCATAAATGTTCATATATATTTTTAATAACACCCTTAAAAAGCACCAAGTGTATCCCAATACTACTACCTCTGCCTCTTCACCAATCATTTGATATTCTTTGGATTATATTCACCATGATTTAATCACTTATGTCATTGGTCAAACTATACATTAGAAGATTAAGGGAAAAACTTGCTTTAAGTTATACTCTATGCAACAGAGTTACCCATTACATGATTCTTTTCATCACCATTTGCAACGTCACACATCTTGTAGTACTCTATGCAGACTATTTCAGCTTCTCGTGCTGTACATATCTACATCTTCTGGATGGGACTGCCCGTGATCCATGAGCTTGGGGTCAGGCATAAACTGTGTAGCACCTGATAAAGTATTAAAATGAAAAAAAAATAGTCACTCATTTAACAAATGTATTTTTGGTACTGGAAATACAGGAATAAAAATAGCAGATAAAAATCTCTGCTAGCACAGACTTCATCTTGAAGTCGGGTGAGACACACAATAAATTAAAGATATATCAGATGGTGGTAAGCGCTACACAGAAAAATAAAACAGGGAGGAGCATATGAAGTACTGGGGTAGTTTGCAAATTTAAATAGGGTGACCAGGAAAGCCTTCTAGAAAAGTATTTGAGCAAAGAACTGAAGGAGGTAAGGGTGTGAGCCCTGTAGATCTCTGAGGGAAATGCGTTATAGGAGGAGAAGCAAGCAAGTATAATGGAGCTGAGGGATGTTTGAAGAAACATAAAATGGGCAATACAGCTAGACAGAGTAGGTAAGATGTGGTGATGGTGGGTGTAGTGAGAGTGATAAGAGACATGATCAGAAAACAATGGAGTGCTAGGCCACAAAGGGCCATAGTAAGGTTTTTCTCTTTTTAATTTAAGTGAAATGAGGAATACTGGGCAGCTTTGAGTAGAGTGACGTGATCTGTTTTTGTAAAGATCACTTTTGGCTATGTGGAGAAGAGACTATAGGGGAACAGGTCTGAAAGCAGGGTAACCAGAAAGCTACTGCACTACTCCAGGAGAAAGATGGCTGATGGCTTTCATTAGGGCAGTAGCAATAGAGGTGGTGAAAAGGGACTGGAATATGGATAACTTCTGAAGGTAGAATGGACAGATTTCCTAAATGGACTAAATATGTTGTCTGAGAAACTCTTTAACTTGAGAAACTTCAAGAATGGAGTTGACATTTACTATGGTAGGGGAAAATGTGGGAGAAGCATGTTTGGGGGAAGGCAAATCAAGTGTTAACTTTTGGCTGTTAAATTTAAATGGCTAAATAAACATCTGAGCACAAATGTTGAGTAAGCAGCTAGAAATGTGAATCTGTAGAGTTCAGGAGAGGTCTGGGCTGGTTTATAAATTTTACAGTCCTAGCCTGTATATGGCATTTAAATCTATGGGACTTATAAAATCATCTAGTGCGTCAGAGAAGAGGTCTAAGGAATGAGCCCTTTGGATACTCCAACTTTTTGAAGTTAAGATTAGGAGAATGTAGCAGAGGAGACTGAAAAGGAACAGCTAATCAGTGAAGAGAACCAAGAGCAAGTTGTGTCCAATAGGCCAAGTGAAGAGAATGTTTCAAGGAGGAGGAAGTACTCATTTGTGTTAAAAGTTACTAATGGACTTCGTAAGATGGAGATTGAGAATAGATCCCTGGATTTGGCAATGTGTGGATCAACAGTGATGCTGATAAGCTTGACTGTGTGCCAGGCAAGATGCTATGTTATTTTCATGCATTATCTTGCAATACCACCATGAGATACACGATATTTTTATATTATCCTTGTTTTACAGATAAAAAAGTTTTCATTTAGAGAGGTTAAGAAAGTTGACCAATGTCACTCAGTTGATAAGTGGTAGAGCCAGGACTGAATTCAGATTTATCTGACCCCCAACACAACAACCCTAGTTCTTCTGTAAAATGGGAATTAGAAAAGTAACAATGTCATACAATTGCTTTTAATATTCAATAAAATAATGTGCACAAAGTTCTACATATAATACCCTGTGCATAGTAAGTAGGCAAGAAACTATTTTTATATTTACTTTAAGACATAAAACATATTTTCCAGAAATTTGTTTTTATTTCCAATGTTTTACAAAATCTGATTCATTTTAAAATGGTTTCATTACATTTTGGGAGACACACCTTTTTTTCCATAGAGAAATTTAATTTCTAGTTTTATGATGAAAACAAAGAGGACAAATAGATTTACATACAATGATTTATTTTACACATATCTTTGTAGAAATATTTTCTATTTTATAAAGTGTTACATACCTATATGTAATTTCACCATCAAATATATTAAAAACAACAACAATATATTAAAAACGATCACTAGTAATCACTATCCAGGACACTAACACAGTTTTCTATAGGACACAGACTCTTAACCTTAGGGGGTCTGTCGATAAAATTCATGTGATCTATGAACTTGGATGTGGAAAATTTGTCTTTATTTTCATTAACCTCTGGCTAAAAATGAACATTTTCTTCAATTATGAATGTCGGCAACAAACCACAATAATATTAACAGTACCTCAGATTCTGTCACTAATAGAAATCACAGATATTTTCATATCACACTGGAATTGTCGTTATCTTGAAATATTAAAAGTTACTACTACTTCAAAATTATGGACTTTATTAGATATTTTGCTAGATATTATTGTTTAATACATTTAAAGAGGCTCATAAATCACTGTATTTTATTTTATGCATTTAAAAACATTATTCTGAGAAAAGGTCCATAGCACACAAAAAAGGTTAAGAAACTGAGTGGTTCTGCCTGTTCCTTTCTCAAGTGTATCTTTACTGCCACCTGGTAGCAGTCTTTGTTCAGTACAAGTGAAACGTGTACCACAAAATAGTTTTATCAGACATACTATAGTTAAGCATGTGATAATTATTTTATATAAGTCTGAATGTATCTAATTTGTTTAATGATGTCCATCAATTGACTAAGTTCTCTAACACTTCTACTCATTTCCTTAAATTCTTGTCCAAAGTCTGGTCAAAGATTCAGCTCACCCAAATTTGAAAGGTCCCTTTTCCTTTAGATCTCCACTTCTCAAAATTTGTTGAAAGGCTTCAAATATTTAATTTATCCCCATAGCTTATGCCAGACATTAAGTAGAGGAATATTCATGGAGAATTCCCAATAGATCTTTCCCTATAATTACCTGCTTAGAGGCCTCACCACTGGAGATTGAGATTTATGATTCTTAGGAAGAGTGAATTTTAGAAGAAAAGAAACAAGTAATTGTGATTAGCCTAGGTCATTTGATTTCTGCCTTTTTTAAAAGATTCATCTCATGCTTTTCTGAGTAATTAAAAGAGTATATCTTTCTTCTTAGAATTTCTTCATCCCTTGATCTGATCAAGGGCTCTCTATACTCCCAAAAGATTAGCCATCATAAAACTCCTCTTGAATCTCAATCCCCTAATCATTATAATCCCCTAGTAATTATAAGGAATAAAGAAGTTCAAATTTATAAAACAGCAATGAATTATTGTCTCAAATAGCCATTAGGTGATATCTGTTCACTGATAATTTAGTTCACACATTATCTCCTTTATATTTCAAGCAAGTTAGTTACAAAAAATGGGACACATATCAGTAATAAATTGCTGAATGAGGTTAAAATTGTAGAAATTCTACTTTTGTTTCTTTTGTATAAAGTTGGGATGATATCCAGCATTCACCTTCTCCGTATTTGAAACACTTAAAGATACTAGTTACTGCAAAGTACTTTCTCACACTTTATTCTTTCTATTCTTTTTTCTCTGTGGTTCAGTTTGGCTATTTTCTGTTGACCTTTATGAGTTATTTGTTTCTGTCCTCTCTTGTATATACAGTCTGCTGTTAAACCCATCCAATGAGTTCTTAATTTCAGGTACTATATTTTTCACTTCTAGAATATGCACTTGATTTTTAATAGATTCCAATTTTCTGAGAAATTCTCCATCTTTTCATCCATTTTGTTCATGTTTTCTATTTAAGATATTAATCATAGTTACTTTAAAGTCCTTTTCTGTTAACTTCAATATTTAGATCACCTGTGGGTCTGTTTTGTTTTTTCCTCTTTTGATTGTCAGTCACATTTTCCTGACTCTTTGCATGACTAGTATTTTGTTTGTTTGTATGGTAGACACTGTCTAAAAGAACTGTGGAAGCTCCACATGGTATCTTCTAGGAGAGCTGGAACCCTTTTCCTCTTTTAGGAAGGGTAAAGTGCTTATCTCAAGCCAATCAGGCATTGAGCTGAGTTGCAGTTTTAGAAAGCATTGTCAACCTCTGGTTCCTCCCTGTTCTTCAGGTATGGCACTCCCAAGCTTCTGATTGAGAGTCTGGAGAGTTTCTGTCTCCCTCACATTACAAGGCTGTAGGGAATTCAGTGTTGCCCTTCAGAGGTTTTGAGATTGGCTATTTAGTCTCCTGATCCATAAGAAACCTGGCAAATATTATGAGGGGGAGATGAGATAAGTCACGCATGCATGGCACACCTCGTCACTCTAAAACAGGAATCAGCAAACTTTTTCTGCAAAGGGTTAAGGAGTAAATATTTTTGACTTTGTAAACCATAAGATCTCCATTGCAGCTACTCACCTCTGCCATTGTACTGTGAAAACAGCCAAAGATTCACAAATGAACAAGTGTGGCTGTGTTCTAATAAGACTTCATTTATGGAAACTGAGATTTGAATTTCATATAATTTCTACTTGTCACAGAATATTTTTCTTTTGATTTTTTTCAACCATTTAAGTCATGTAGAAATTATTCTTGCCTTGTGGAATGTACGAAAACAGGTGGTGAGCCAGGTTTGGTGCAAGGGCCAGAGTTTGCCAATCTCTGCTTTAGAGGGGCATTAATCCTGTGAGACTGAGATTTCACCCTGCTTTCATCAGATTTTAAAGAGGTCCATGTCACCAAATTTCTAAATTTGCGATTTCCAAAGTACATAATTTTCACCATAAATGTATATGGGTGATAAAGAACAACCAAACTCATATTCAGAGCCATGATATGTAGTTTGACAGTTCACTCAATCTATCCTGTATAGTGATAACTGGTGGCCATGGCTAGTCTCCCTAGCTAAGTAATATGCTCCCAAATTGCGCTCAATGAAAATAAATTTGTTTATTGGCAGAATGGCTAATTTCTCTAGGCAAATAATAATAATACCTTCTAATATTCATTGAGAACTTAGTATGTGCCTGACATTGTAATTTACATGCAATATTGCATTTCATCCACACAACTATGTGAGAAAAACACTAATATCACCCCCATTTTATGGATGAGGAGACGGGCTTGAGGTATTAGATAACTTGCCACAGGTAATAGAACTAGTATAAGTTGGATCTATAATAGGATTCAGATCCAGGTCTTATTCCAAAATCTGTGCTCATAATCACTACTGTTTCTCATGTTTGGACCCCTGGGACTGCATGTGAAATACAGAATGGTAGAAATGATGAATCCCAAAGGTCTACTGTATAATCAACTCTGAATGATCTATAAGGATGAATAGTACTAGCATACATATCTCTCTTCTCTACATGTCTCCTTAGAATGCTTTTCATACCACATTACCCATGACAGGCAGGTACAGGGTTCCAGAACCCAGATATGTGAAGAAAAGACATTGGCTAGGGATGCTTTGGTCCCACTGTTAAGCTGTAATGTATTTCATTTCCACTAAGATACTCTGGAATTGACAGGCATTTGGAAAAATGACTGGATATATTATATACTTGTTGGACAATGTGGTCAACTATGGATTAGGCAGAGTGTAAAAACTGTGTAACTTATCTTTATTAAAAAGGAGAGGTGACCGAGGAAAAGAGTAAAACTCAAATCAGGTTTGGTACTCAGTGACAGCTTTTATAATGATTAGTGAGAGAGGAGGAGGCTGAAATTAGAGACTAAGCTCTGGTTTTAAATTAGATAATCTATACACAACAGAAAGGGCTTGGACTTTGGTGTCAGGAAGATCTAGTCTATAAACACAATTCTGCTACTCATAAGCTGTATAATCTTGGGCAAGTTACTTAAGTTCCCTGAGTCTCCACCTCTTCATCATAAAATGATTATAATTACATATACACCAGAGGTTATTTCTGTTTTGTTTTGCTTTGCTTTGCTCTTTGGGTGAGGACTGAATAACATGTTTACAGCTCTTTGCACCACAGAGAAGGCGCTCAATAAGGGGCACCTGATAATGAAATAGTATCATTATGTCCTAATTCTTTACCTCTGAGTTGGTCCTATTTCCTTTGCAATAAGAAAACTTAATGGGTAATACCATTGTCATTGTAGAGACAGACAAATCCATGGAGCCAGTGACTAGAGTTTATGTGAATACATACTAAAATAGTATTAAACACTCTATTATCTTCTTTTTGATCATAGTAAAACCATTGTAGTATTTGCCCAGAAAGTATAATTTCCACTATTTGGTCCCACAAAGTATTAATTTCCAGTATCTAATACTAGCAAAATTACTAGTATTATAATTGGTGCTATTCTTACTATTTGATGTTGAAAGTTCTCCTGGTATCTAAACTAAATAAAACTGACAGTGGAAGCTAAGACTGACAGCACAAGAAATGGGAAGCTGATATTCTTCTATGCAGATGTGATTCATATTTATAGCCTGTACATTGAAAGAATAGCCTGTATATATTCGGAAAGGCACCTTTTTCTCCACCTGATTAAAAAACTCACATTTATGAAGCGGTATTAAATGCTTCATTCACCCAACCTGAGTGCTTCTCTATACCCCACATGCAAAGATGTCTATTATAAACTATGTCGCAATTAGAAAAAGTCCCAGGTACCTGAGTACCTCGTGACCTAAAAAGATATACAGACAGATATGAAAAGACAAAACAGTTAAGAAGAGAACTCATAGTTCAAACTAGTAATTATAATATTATAAAATTATCTAAGAAAAGAATGAAAACAAAACTGAACTATGCAAACAAACCTGAGGTGGATTCTGATTTGGTCTTTTTTTCAGAGCTGAGTTCTGTTGGCAAAGCCACTGGGTGTTTCAGGTCGTGAGTTGTTTTTGCAGGTATTTCTATTTCAGCAGAGCTTCCTAGCTGTTTACCAAAAAGATTTTTTCCTTCATAAGTAAACCATTTCACTAAAAGAATAAAATAGCTTATAAAATTGTAGCATGCAAAGGTAGTATATTCCTTCATCTATATTCACTCTATCCTTGACCTCTGTCCAGGACTCCCATTACAAGCCAACACCCACCCAAACAAAACTCAATGCCCACCGTTTTGGTCCACTTAAACACTACCTTAGTTTTTTCTTTAGGTTCAGGAAGTGACTCTTTTTTGTTGTTTTTTGTCCACAGTGATTTAACTGCTTCATAAACTTGCTGGCTTGTAGCATATGCCTTTTTCCCAGTTACCTAATTAAAACAAAACATGAGTCAAAAACCTATTTTTAAAAGTTAAAATAACAAATATTTAAAAATTTATGTCAGGTATTTTATATTAACACCCAGGTCAGAATCAAAAGTAAAGACATACATTTCTAGGTGATGTAACACAAAGCCCCATTTTCCAAGTCTTATATGAAAAATTATTTGCTTCATGTAAAAGGCTAAAAATATATATTAGTATAAAACCAAGATTGAGTCTGAATGTAAACTGTGGACTTTGGGTGCCAATGATGTGTCAACGTAGGTTCATCAATTTTAACAAATGGACCACTCTGGTGGGGGATGATAATGGAGGAGACTGGGCATGTGTGGGGACAGGGGGTATACTGGAAATCTCTGTACATTTCCCTCAATTTTGTTGTGACCTAAAATTGCTCTAAAAAAATGAAATCTTAAAAATGTATAGCTTGCATTCCCAGTGTGAATTTAAAACTATGTCTATGTAATAGGAGGTTGGGAAAGACAGTTTGAGATAAAAAGAGTTATCTGAGAAAATGCAAGATGCTACAAAGTTAATCCTTTTGCTTAAATTTTTATGGTGCTTTTTCCAGTCATAAAGAAAAAGCATCAATGTACTTCTACAGAGAATAATACTTTTTTTTGGTAGAAACATGAATTAAAAAATGAACTACACGGGTTCCATTCCGGACCTGAGCTGAGCTGCCGCTGAGCGGCCAACAGGTGGCAGGATGGCCCAGTCTAAAAAAAAAAGAACTACAAACACTAAAGCAGAGGCTAGGTTGCTCACTGAATTCCCGAAGCTGCTGTTAAACTTTCATTGATCTCTTTCTGTTTGAAAAAATCTTCTGATTTCTTCTTTCTATTCTTTTCCCATCCTTTTCTTCCTTATAGTTAAAGTAATTTTAATAGGTTTTGGTTTTTCAAGTTTTTTGTTTTTAAAGATGTTTTGGGGAGTTTTCTATAAACATATACTTTTAAAAACCTATGTTTTCCTTCCTTAAATAGAAACATTTTTATTGTTTTTGCTAAGTATATACCTACACTTAAGAAAAAAATCAATCAATCCACCAGAATAAAGTCCTCTTCCTCTCCCAAGTGCAATCTTTGTTAATAGATGTGTAGAACTTTTTCCTGAATTTTTACTCTTCTATGTCCATTATATATGCACACACACAATAGCTTTTTAAAACAAATGGAATGTAGATACTTATAGATCTACTAAAGAAGGATGAAGTAGATCTATATGCAATGACATGGATAGAAGTCCGTGATGAACCACTGAATTGAAAATGGAGATTAGAGAATAGATTATATACTACTATCTCAATTATGTTTTAAATTAAATTTTAAAATAAACCGCACACATATACACTTAGTTTTTTTAAACAGAAATGAGATCATACTATAAATATTTGATTTTATTTTTTTAAAAGCTTAACTATTATCAGAGATGTTTCCCTATCAGTTTATATACCAGATCTTCTTAATAGCTGCATAGCTAATATTCTATTAGAAGATATGTAATAATTTGTTTTAAAAATCCCCTATTGATAGGCATATTGGAATTATGACTTATTTACCAATTCCCTTGTAATAGGCATATGGGATATTTCCTTTTTTTGGCAATAACAAGCATGCTTCGATGAGCATCCTTACACATACATCTGGGACCATAGACCCTTGTGCAGTTTCCTTGGGTCAAATTCCTAGTTGTGAAATATCTGGGTTAAAGATTTTATAAATTTTAATTTTTGATAACATTGCCACATTGCCTCCAGAAAGTCAGTGATATACTGCAGCAATTCACACTCCCACCAAGAGTATACATTTGTTTTCCTAACCCATTTACCAACAGCAGTATTATGAATCTTTTAAATCTTTGTCAAATTGAAAGGCTAACAACCAGTATCTAAATGATCCTTTAAATTTGCATTTGTTTGATTGCTGATGAAATTAAGCATGTTTCATATATCAGGCCATTTATGTTTCTTATTTTGTGGATTGCTTGTTCATATACTTTCTTCATTTTCCTAGAGGGCATTCAATTCATCTTTCTCCTATCAATTTATAGGAGCTCTTAATATATGAAAGATATTATTAAGTCTTTTGTTATAAATGTAGCAAATAGTTTTCCCAGTTTTTCACTTATCCATTAACTTTGTGTATGGTACATTGCGATCAACAGAAATGTATTTATTTTGATGTAGTAAAATACATACTTTTTTTCTTGGATGGCTTCGGGATTGTTTTGCTTAAGAAGGCCTTTCCTATCTCAAGATTATACAAATATCCCTTTTTTTCTTTTAATATTTTTATAGCATATTTTATGATTAGATCTTTATTCCACTTGGAATTTATTTTTGCAGCATATTTGGTAAAGGTCTAAGTATTTTTAAAAAAACATGATTATTCCAACGCATTTCTTGAATAATCCATCCTTTCTTCACATACTGATCTAAAATGCCACCTTTACCATACCCTTCCCTTTCCCTACAATGTATATAAAGACAAACTCAATATATTTGGTTTTGAACATTCTCTTTTGTTCTCTTGGGCTATTTTACTGTCTATCTATAGCTTAGTATAGTTATCAATACATGGTAGATGGACAAAAAATACTAGTTGAATGAATGTCATATTCCCTCCAAATCCAGGAATTTTGTAAGAACTGAATTAAATTTATAAATTTGGGAACACTTGCCACCGTATAGTATTGAGTCCTTTCATCCAGAAACAAGATATACCTCTAAATGTATTCAAGTTAAAAAAAAAAGGCCCTTTAGTAAAGTTTAGTATTTTAAAAAATAAGTCTTAAAACATTATTTGATGAATTTATTCCTAGATGCTTTATAGTTTTCAAAGACATGTTACTTGTTACTCTTTACAAAAGTTAAAAATGGAAATATTGTGAGGAAAAATAGAAAAAGCAAAGAGTAATCCCATATCGAAGTATATTTCCAAAATGGTGACTAACTGGAGTGTGACTTTTATTTCTCAAAAAACCTTCTGGACTACTGTTCCATAACCCTTTTTTACATCATAGACCCCTTAGAGAATCTTTTGAAACGTATGGGCCCTTTCCTTCAGAGAAATACACATACAGTACATGAGCTCTCACCTGACATCCTTTTAAGAGATGTGTGATTAATTAAAATGTTTTAAAAATTTATAAAGATGTTCATAGAATGCTGAATATTAATCATCAGTAGATACTCTCCAATATGCCCAAGTACTATCTTTCACAAGTGATTTCTACGCTTACCAAGAATAAGTTGTATTTGTTTCCAAATCTCTATGTTTCCAAGTTTTACTATAATTAAACAACTTAAATGTAACTTAATAGGATGAAATATGAGTATGAAGACCACTGTTGTGTCTAGGAAAATTAAGCTAAACACTTTGTGAAGAACATACAATATGATATATAGATGGTGTATTACAGAATTGTACACTTGAAACCTATGTAACTTTACTAACTATTGTCACCCCAATAAACTTTAATTAAAACATAACAATAACTGCTGTCCTATTAGAAGTGGGCAACACAACTGTAAAAGGCTAGGAGAAATAATAAAAGTCTAAGAGGATTCTACTCTCATATTATTTAAAAAATGTTTTTAAGTGTTCACTCTATTAAAAAAACCTAAACTGAAAACAGCAGAAGACATATTACAGATATGTAAGATATGTAACATACAGATATGTAACTATACAACAGATGCTATGGATATTCAGCTAGGAGACCCATGCTCATAGAAAAGCCCTACTTCAAAAGAGAGAAAAATGAACACATTTGTTTTAATTTGAAATAAAATATTTAGGGTATATATTTAAGATTTTTAAAAAACTCCCTGCTGTAACATTTTTGATTACTTGTTAACTATTGGTCCTGATAATATCAAATTAGAAGGTTTCTATTATATATTCTATTTTATATATATATATATATATATATATATACACAATTTTTCATAGTTTCTGGCATGGGAGTCAGAGATTCTCTGAAGTCCCTCATGGATCTCAGGTTAAGAAACCATATTTTGCTCATATAAACAGACACAGACACACACACACACACACACACACACAGACACACACACACACACAGACACCATTATATCTTATACAAATATGTATTTATATCTAATATATGATAAATATATATCTAATATATCAGACATAATAGGCTCTACCAAATGTTACATATGACATTGTTACATGACAGTTAAAGGAAAAGCAAAGGTCTCAACTCTAGAAATTTAAGTAACAATCATTAATTAACCATAGAAGAACTTTTAGGAGCTCATATTAATATCTCTTTTATCATAGAAATTTTTATTGAAAGCAGGAATTCTTTTCTTTTTTCCTTCTTTCAAAGTAAAATTAAACAATATTCTATCATATTAACACTGATTTTTTTTCTGAATGGAAGAATATCAGGTGGTTAATTGTTTTTTTTTTGTTCTATACTTTTCTGTAATGCTTTAATCATTTAAGGATGAGGAGGTACCAATTTTACTAAAAAACAAATATGAAGTCATTATTCTAAACATGAAGACATTATTCTAAACAAACAAACAAACAAAAAGAATCAGTGGTAGCATCATGTACTGGGAAGAGAAATGGACAGGAAGTACACCACCTGAAGCTGAACTGAACCCTAGGCTAATCAATTACTGTGAAGCTTCTCTGGGCTAGTTTCCTTACTGGTAAATGAGAAAATGAGAAAGTTGAATGTAATGAGCTCAAAGGTTTCTTTCAGCACTAACATTATATGAATTGAAGTGGCTAATTCCTATGTAAATTTTAACAAAGATTAAAAAAATAAATGTAGCATTTTATCCATCAATTAGCTCAAATATAACTAGATTTAATGCATAATGCTCTTTTCCTTTGCTATAAGCTTTTATAGTTTGATTACATTACAAACTACATAGAGCACTATATCCTTGACATTCTTAAAATACTGAATAGGCAGTTTTGTCTACATCAATTATTAAAGAGATGTAGTGATGATAATATAAGTACAGAAAGTCCTTCTGGTAACACTACACAAAGCTTCAAGTACGAGGGAGAAATATTAAATGATAGTAATTAAGGGAAGAAGGAAAGGAAGAAAAAACTGCATATCCCAAAGCTCTCTTCAATCTGAATACATGTTAAAAGTAAAATACAATACCAATACAAGCTGTTCAAATTATTAGCAGAATATGGATCTGTGGGTAAGCTCACAAGGAAACGATGAAACAACTATAACATGGATTTTCATGGAAAGTATTACTTAGTTCCAAATGGCTTCAAAACTGAGTTTGTATATGTGTATTTTTTTTTTTTACTTTCAGAAGCTTTTGTTATCTTGTCTGGGTATCTATCAAATGGCTGTTTCTTGCATTATGTTAATCTGCTGAACTGGCAGCTGCCAGCACGTATAATTTTCTGTTAAAAATTGAATTTTACGTCACTCTACAATAGAGCGGTATTTATCCCCATGAATTCTAATGAATTGTCTCTGAGTTTAATCCCCAAACCAGCATTTATATTGTTGAATTATATTTAAACAAATTCATCCTATTTATTTGTGATGATCATATAGTTAGAAATGACATTTAGCATGCTGAGATGCTAATGTGATTTTGCCAACATAAGAGTTGATACCAACTATATTTCTCTGAAAAATGTTGCAGGTGGTGCATGATATTTAAATATGGTCACGCTGAGAGTTTAAACAAATACTGAAATGTAGCCATCATTTAAAAAAGAACTTACCTTTGCAATTATTACTGACTGAACTGGGTAACAAACAGTTGCTCCTAAAGTGGCCAGTCCCAGTGGATAAACAATTTTCTTAAATTTAGAACCTATGAAATTCAAACAAACTATTAAACTCCTAACAGATGCTACAAGAAACTTGATGCTTTTATAACTTTAATATTCTCTTTGTTCCCTTTTAAGCCATCATCCTATGTCAAATTACTCTTTAGGTAATAATATCAATCAAGATGTAGCTAAAATGTCCTTAAGGATCACAATTCAAGTAATACCCCTTAATTGTCATATCCAATTTAAGAAAAGTATTCTCAATCTACCATGATAATTACCTACACAAAGGGGATTGATGATCTCCTTTTTTAAAACTATGTATTTTTTTCATGTCTTAAACAATGTTAACCTGAAATGGACTTTCTTTTACATCTTTTTTTTATTTAAGTATTTAGGAAGGTGAAAGATCCAACTAACTAATTAGCTAAGGACTTTAAATGGTACTCCTTCATGTCATTGATTTAGAATACAGAAATAATAATGTAATAATTGCAAGTAATTTGAGATAATTAATTCACTTCTAAAAGTATCTTAACTACACATCTAAGGATCATTTTCAAACTTTTTTTGACAGCAAAATCATTTTCCAAAAAAATCTCACAAATAGAATCTCACTAGGAACTTCATACATGAAACCTATAAACTTGAAGCTACTCTGGTTAAAGAGGGAAGCCCAGCATTGAGCCCTACCTGCATGGCTTTTCCCTTTTTCCCATACCAACCCTAAACACTTCCATGGAACCCTAGGTTCTGTACAAGTTTGAAACCCACCACGCTCATCCAGAGCCTAGTTCCAACAGACTGTTGGTTTGAAACAATATGTATCTTAAATGCTTGTCTCGGTACCTGGAGTCTGTAAATCTGATTTGGGCAATTAGATGATGGAATTTCTAATTGGGGCAAGTACTTTTATTCTCTGGAACAGCTCTTATAACTCTTCATTTAAAAATAATAGTAGGGATAGGTAAAAGGGTTAGAAAGTACAAATTAGTAATCACAATATAGCCATGGGAGTATGAAACACAGTTTGGGGAATACAATGAATAATGTTGTAAAGATTTTATAGGGGATCAGGTGGGCACTTCTCTTATTAGGGAGACCACTTCATGGATGGTATAGATGCCTGACCACAGCACTGTACACCTGAAGCTGAATACTGAATGTCAATTATATATACAGTAATACCTTGGTTTGCGAGCATAATTCATTCTGGAAACAAACTACTCTTATTGCAAGACATTGCTCTTTTACCAAGTTAAAATGTATTAGAAATGTTTGCTCATCTTGCAGAACACTCACAAACCAAGTTACTAGCAATCCAAGGTTTT